TAATTAAAATTCTGACTATAGGATTAGGATTCGTTAGTACGTTTTATGACCAATGAGCCTAAGTGATAAACCTTGCAACTTTTCAACATGTCTAAAGACAACAATAATTCATTTTGTTAGATACCAACTTATCGCTATGTGAAAATCCCAAGCTACTAGATAGCAGCGCGTATCCCTATTTCTTCGATTCACCCAATCAAACGCCATCGTTCTAGAAATAGTTTTCCTTTTCATGACATTTGTTTGACAATCTATCCACCATTTAATTGGTCATCCTCTTCCTTTCTATCCATCCATCCATTACTTTCATACCTTCTCATCACGTGTCCGTTGTCCGTATTGGATATGCGTATGAATAATATTTATTCTGCTTTTTTCTCTTTTTCATACAGATATAGTCGAAGCATAAATAAGCTGAAAGTTCAGCTTATTTATGCTTCCTTTTAAGTTTCCTAGAACATGATCATGTATTATTTTGCTCTCAGCAGCATGCATTAACTCAAAACCTGATTAGAAGCGGATTTACAAACTCAACTTTTAATTAAAATACTTTTTTAAATAAAACCCAAGATGTGATGACCCTGGGAGTAAGTATCCAGCCAAGCAGACATTTAGGCTGCAGTGTTTTTCTTTTTAAGAAAGAGGTACCCTAAACAAAATTTGCTACGGACTCCGATGAACCTGATTGACCGACCGTTAGACTGACCTCTAAAATAACAATAATGCTTTTATTACATTAATAATAACAGAGTAGTTTAGGACTGTATTGACCGAGTTGTTGTAAGTGCGGCTGCCGGGCAAGGGGTCTCAGATTCGATTCCCGAGTCGGGCAAAGTATTACTGGGCTTTTTAAGAAAAACTCAGTCGTAGCACGGAGTCTGGAAATGTGCCCGGTATTTGGCAAAAGGCTCACCCCTATTACATGGGACTCATAACATAAATAGTGAAAAGTGGGTTTACACCCATGTCCATTGTACAGAGGCATTAAGTGTCGTAATATGCACCTCTGCCTACCCCTTCCGGGATAAAAGGCGTGATGTTATGTTATGAGTAGTTTAGGTTTAGAACCTATGCCATGATCTGACCCAGTTATCATGCACATATATAAAGCTTGCGAGTTCACTAAAGAATGTAACGTAATGGTCTACAATAAAATTATGGTATGTTAGCTGCCAAGTAAGGTTGAATAAGCAATAAAATACTAATATGTTCTGAATTATAAATAACTAGCGACCCGCCCCGGCTTCGCACGGGTGCAATATACATGTATTATATACAAACGTTCCTTAAGAATCACTCTTTCTATTAAAATAAACCGCATCAAAATCCGTTGCGTAGTTTTAAAGATCTAAGCCTACCTACATGGGGACAGACAGACGTGGATAGCGACTTTGTTTTAAAATATGCGGTGATGGGACGCACATAGAAAAGCATGAAAAGAAAGGATTTTGTAGTAATTGTAGAAGTCGTAGAAACTACAGAGCGACATAGACACGACATACTAATTGTTTAAAATGTAGATAAGTACTTCTTTGTTTGAGAAGGTTTTTTGTAAGATACAGGTTCAATCAATTGGGTACTCAAAAATAAATTATTTCGACTGTTCAACGTCAAGAAAATATTTAAAATAAATCACACTTTCATTCATTGATTTTATGACCAACTTAATTTTAGTATATTTCCAGCAATTTTTTGTTAAATAAATATGATGTTTGACGCTAAAAAAACGTGACGTCACAATACACAATCTCGTACAAAATTCATAGAAAACTGTCGTTTCTGACAGTTCGAAAAAAGCATTGAATTTGACTAGTTGGCAAGTACCCAATTATCTGATGGGTTCTGGCCTTTTGAAAAAGGAAAACGCACCATGCTTTCTCTTTTTTTTTAATATGCGGTGACAATCGTTCCAAAGTTTTATGGTGCAAGACAGAAAGTGGAACGAAAAACGCAAAACTAGTGTTTAAACTGTCAAACACCAAGCAGTCACCGGTGACCGCAACCTATTGTTCTATAATTGTGTCTACAAAACCGGTACTCGACGAGTTAATGCTTGTTTTAACCTATTAAACGCAAACCCTATGTGGAGACGGCCCATTGTCCACCATTGAGCGTTTGTGGGTTTTTGCTGCGATATAATTTACCACTTCAACTACTTCATTAGATACTTGTAAGCATGTAGACATTATAATATCAGATGCTCATTCATTCATGCTCTCGTTATTTAGGCACTCTTGTAAACAACTAAAAATGACGAATACATTTGAATCGTAAACATTTTTAGTTTTGTTTACCTTCAAACTTTTCTAGTATCCATAGTCATATACGATGATAAACGATGCCCTTCATTCATGAAGAAAACCTTTGATATTCTACGCCATCTATACAAATGGGTGCTAACTACGTGATCGTTGATCCTCTCGCTAGCTTGTTTGCATTTTGCTTGCAACAAATACCGCTAGATGGTGTTATTTGTGTAAAACTTACCTAATAAATTAATACATAATAAGATGTATGATTATGTGTATGTACTACTAGGTATGTATATGATATATAACACCACTGTAGCGTAAACATTAATTCATGTTTTTATTAGGTAGTTATTGCATTTCTTTATCAGAAAGGTACTTAGTATGTCCGTGTGTTTAAGTTTATTTGTATTAAACTAGAATATTTTTTCGGAGACATACCTACCATTACATATTCAAGTGATAGGTGATAAGGAGAATATCTCAAGAGAAAATAGACCTCAATACAAGTACAATTAAGAGCTTTTCTTCCTTGTTTTGAAAAGTCGATTCTATTTTTATCTTTTTACGTTTTGTGGGTGTAGAGACTTACCAAAATTATGCAGTAGATCTGTACATACAATGTAACCTTTTTGTGTATAACTAAAACCATAACTGCACTACCTGCATTACTCAGGTAGGTAGGTACCTACTATACTGTATAAAGAGGAGAAAGGAATCTAAACTAGTTTCTTAGCTACTAGAGATGTTGCTAGCCGTAATTACAGCATATCGATAAAATATTTAACTACAAACATAAGCCTTTTGTCCCCGAAGGCGTTGGCAGAGGTACACATTTACGGCACTTAATGCCACTGTACAATGTAACACCCACTTTTCACTATTTATGTTATGAGTCCCATGTAATAGGGGGGTGAGCCTATTGCCATATCCCGGGCACATTTCTGTACTCCGTGCTACTAGTGAGATTTTTTTTAAACCCAATTTCTTAATACTTTGCCCGACCCGGGAATGGAACCCAGGACGCCCTTGCCCGGCAGTAACACTTGCAACCACTCGGCCAACGAGGCAGTCTTTAAACTTCAACTTTGAATTAAACTAAAACTACCGGAAAAGTATTGATAACTGATTACAGTTATCAATACTTTAAGATTACTTACTGATATTATAAATTGGACAGATTGTGAATTGAGATGAAATTTGGAACGGGGGTAGCATTTTGTTTTTCTTTTTGAAGGCGGAATATCATACAATTACTTCTCCCGCCTTGGGTTAGACGAGAGGGAGTGTCAGACTCTTACTGACTAAAAACCACCCCGTTCCTTCTCCTGCACTTCGTTAGGCCTTCCGTAAGGGGTAGAGAACACATAGGCAACTTTTTATAACATAACATAACCTTTATAGCCTTTTATCCCCGAAGGGGTAAGCAGAGGTGCACATTAAGCCATTGTAAAATATAACACCCACTTTTCACTATTTATGTTATGAGTCCCATGTAATAGGGAGTGAGCCTATTGCCATAGATATACCGGGCACAATTCCAGACTCCGTGCTACTACTGTGATTATTTTTAAAAACCCAGTAATACTTTGCCCGTTCCGGGCATCGAACCCGAAACCCTTTGGCCGGCAGTCGCACTTGCGACCACTTGGCCAATGAGGCAGTCACTCTTTATATTGACCACGCTACTCTTTATGCTGACCACGGGAATATGAGCGCTGGCGAGAAGCTAGTATTAAAATATATCTTTTGTAAAGAACTCAAAACAAATTCAAGACATGCTATTAATTGATCTTGGATCAGGCTTCCGAAGTGATGATGCAGTTGTTTCAGATTTTCGAAAATATCTCCTCGTAAATGTATTAGGAAGGAGTCTGGACTTGTGCCCAGTACTTATACGTAGTAATGAGCAAACTGTTTCGACTATTCAATACAATAAAATACTTGTAAATAATCACACTATTAGTAATTAATTTTACGATGTAAATACCTACCTACGTATATTTCAGATTTTCTAGTTATTTTTTAAGAAATAACTATAGTATCTGATTAGTTATCAAGTCCCCAATTATGTAAGTTTCCAAAATTGCACATTACCATCAAATCTGTATCGTCAGATGACAATGACACGGATAACTCGCATTATTTGTTCAAGAAAGTAGTTACTCAATACTTTATACATACATACTCCTACACTAACTGAGCTGTCAAACTTTCACAGTAGATTATCAACCTTATAGCTTAATGACAAAGGTGAAAATGTTTTAAACAATTTTGACAGGTTTTATGATGGTGTAAGTGCATTACATCGATATACGGCACTCCTCAACTCGCGGATTGTTCGTATTATACAACTTTAGGCGTGGGACGTATTTATCATAACAGATATAAGTAACAGGTATTGAGTAAACAATAATATATAACAGTTATTCGTATGGATCTAAGAAACAAGTATTAGGGACACAGTAACAAATAACAGTTGTTTTTACTTGTCACAATTACAGCTCAAATTACAATGTCAGTTAAAATAACAGTCTATTATGTAACTGTCTGTAATCACAATTAACAAGATACCTACATCAAGAAGTATAACATCATCTGTTGTCATAATGCGCTTAGGAAATTAACAACCCAATATTATAATAACAGATATCAAGAACTGTTAAAATTACGGAACAGTACCATAAAGAACAGGTATTATGTTAGACCTGTTGCAACCTAAGTCTATCGACGTCAGTTAGCACGCGGCTGTGCCAGTCACGGCGCGTCTCGCACTGCTGGAGCACTAGATGTAACCGGTGTTCACGCGTTCTGCACAATTTTCACTTTTCGTTGCGTCTGCGCATAAAGTACTAGTATTTACTTAAGTAAAGTTAAGTACATAATACTGCTGTGAATAGGATTTGTGTGTGATTTAAACTTGTGTTCGAAATTGATATTTCTGTGAGTATTAAATGTATCATTTATGTTTATGTAAGACTAGCTGTTGCCCGCGACTTCGTTCGCGTGGAACTGTGATTCACAGCTCCTACCCTTAGATGATAGCGTGATAATATGTAGCCTATATGTTGACCGACCTGTTAGTAATATTCATGCATAATTTGAAGTAAATCCATGCACTACGTTTGGAGATCATCCCGGACATACATATAGACAAAAAGACAAAAATTCCAAAAACCATATTTTTGGCTTTGGTATCGATTGTAGATCACGCTTCAAGTATTCTTTTTAAAAAATATTAATTTACAGTTTTGACTTTTCTACGATTTTATTATATGTATAGGAGATAGATGGATAAATATTTAATTGATAGTTGATTGCATAAATAAGTACCTACATAATACTTTAGTTACCGTGCAATATGTAATGACACCTACAGGGGGTAGCTAGAGACAATAGTAACTCCAAGTGCCCAGATTTTAGCGTACCACTAAATTACATAATGGTTATAAATGCCCACTGCTGAGCAAAGCCTCTTCTCACAGGAGAAGATTTTGAGCAATAATAAACACATTTGCTCAATGCAGGTTGGTGATTACAAACTTATTAAAAATTATAAGCTCAGGTTTCCTCACGATTTTTTTCATCACCGTTTGCCAGTAGTATTTAGATAGTCTTAGAAAGTACATATAACTCGGAAAAAGTCACATTGGTACTTGCCATTGGTAAGTTTCGAACCCCGCCGCCGCTTGTAGACGATTCTCATGTATGAGGGTGCCATGCTTGAGAAGCGGGCGTCTTAAACCTCTGGGCCACCACGACATCAGTTAGTATCAGTGAGAAACCAGAGACAAATGAAAATTAATACAATAACAAAACTAAGGATAATTTATAAGATATATACGAAGGTACTTGTTTTGCAAAGAGATCTCAGGTCAGTATCAGTAATTCCACACTATCTATTATATTCTTTTGGTTGAGATACAAAAAAGTATCTAACAAAGCTAAGTAATGCAATCAAAGCGATTGATCTCAAGAGTTGATTGGAAGCAGTAACGGACCTGACGAACAACCTCAATTTAATGAACGGTAGACCGTAATTATACGCTATATAATTGACTTTTCTATGGATTATCTTTGTCCATCGATACAATCGTACCCATAGAGGGAGCCCAATAAGGCTGATGCCGATACGGTGCCGCGGAGGACTTAACGGCTTACGGTTACGTTTCCGGCTCGAAGTGCAGGAGTAGGAACGCGCTGGTTTTTCGCCAGTAAGGGTCTGACACTCCCTTTTGTCTCACCGGGGGGGGGGGGGAGAAGCCATTGGATAATTTTCCCATATTCATTTTTAATTTTGAAAAAATTTATATGTTCTGTTCTAAGTTTTAAAGAAATCCCTCTGGTATTTCGGATATCTATTGGTGACGCCGACTGCTTACCATCCGGTGATATGTTTGCTCGTTTACCGGCTCATTTCATTAAAAAAAAATAATCTTAATAAAACTATACCCTTCCCAAAGACATCCATGACCTCCTGTTTAGGTCAAAGCGATTGTAAGCGAGAAAAAGACAATAAAAACTAAAATAATATATTGTTATGTTACGTACAGTACTTTTTTTATTTTAAGGCAAAAAAGCATCGACTGCTTTATTGCTCACGTGGTTTCAATTTTGACACTAGACATATTTATTGTCTCGAGTTCGATTCTCGGATCAAGAAACGTATAATTGGGGTTTTTCGGATTTTTTTTTAGTAGCACGGAATCAATTGTATACAATTTTATATTGCATGTACACATATACGGCATTTTGCAATGTGCTTAACCCTGTGCTTATAACATTTATTTTATTTATTTATTTATTTATTTTTATTACAGAAAACTCAACAGCTTATATATTAAATGCTACATCTATAATAATGACAAGGCATGGAAACTTAAGCCAATAACAGAGTTTTTCAGCATGCGTTAGGTAAAAGTAGGAGAGTGAGCAATATAAAATAAAATTAAACAATCAAGGACATTTTTTTATAAAGCAATAATTAAGAAGAATAATAATGTTATAAGAGTCACGCACTAGTGAGTATTTGTATAAGCGACTTACGAAAGGATACCTTTGACAAATTAAATATATCCACACTCTCAAACTTCTCTGTGTAAATGCGAGGTAGTCGAGTCATAACAGCATTTTTCCCATAATTCGTACGATGTGAGGGTATACTAAGCAAGTGAGTATGTCTTGTTCGACACCTGTGCGTGCAGAATTCAACGCATGACAAGAGATCACTGCTATCTATCCCACCCCGCAGGATATCATAAAGAAGGAGCATGTCCAACATCTGCCGTCTGTCATCAAGTGGCAATAAGTGGTAATGTTTACAATCCGTCAGATAAGATGCGTGGCGTTTATGGCTTTTAATATTTAAAAATTTTATAAATCGTTTCTGAAGATTCTCCAAACGAGATATATGAATATTATATAGAGGAGACCAGACAGGACTGCAATATTCTAATGTGCTGCGGACATAAGCAAGATACACAATCTTGAGACTATGAAGGTTTCTGAATGGTTTACATGTGCGCATTACAAATCCAAGATTACGAGAGGCTTTACCAACTGTACTATCGATGTGTTCAGAGAATAGCAATCTAGAGTCCAGCAACACACCAAGATCTCTAACGACATCTACTCTTTCTATAGCTATGTTGTCAAATTTATAACAATACTTTATGGGGTTTATGCGACGGGTGAAACTAATAGATTGACATTTCGATATATTCACATTGATGTTATTCTGCGAGTAGTATCGGTATAGTGAATTAAGGTCATGTTGTATGAGCTCACAATCAGACACCGATTCAACCCGCAAGTATATTTTCATGTCATCTGCGTATAGAAGGTGTTTAGAGTGTTTGAAACATGCTTGGATGTCATATAAGTACGCAGAGTAAAACAGAGGTCCAAGCCAATAGGCGTGTCGACAGGGTAAAAAAATCAAAAAAGTAATTAGTCCGTCATTAAGATCGCACGAAAATATCAGACACGTATTTTTTGTTTTATCAAATTAACAGAAGAATACGTAGTTATTCCGCATTAAAGTTAGGGAGTGGGGGGTGTTGACGTCACACTTACGGAGAAATCGTACCTAAGTGTGACGTCACGCGTCATTTTAACTCAAAATATCTACATGTTTTTTTGGATACGAGAAAAAAGAAAAAATACGTATCGAAGATTTTTAAAATATCTAAAAGACGGACAAAAAATTAAAAAATAGTCGCCATGCCTATTATACAACAATAGGTTGCGGTCACCGGTGACCGCTTGGTGTTTGACAGTTTAAATAAGATTTTAAACTTTAACCATCCTGGGTATATAGTTAAACAGAAGGAAATACATAAGACAAAACCCCGTCTTATATTCCACGAAGGTGTTAGTAAAGGTGTATAAATATGATATGTCACAGAAATATATGTAAACAAATTAGTGCAGAGGGCACAATTACGAACTGAGAATTTCAAAGTTAAAACATACAATAATATGTTTTCCAACCTAGCAATTGAACGCCTTTGCTCGCTCGGCGCACTTACCGTGACAGACGTACCAAATTATTATTATTTAATATGCATACATTCATTAATTATGTATCTATAAGTACCACAGCAAAAACAAAAACAACAAAACCTGGGGTTTTCACTAATCCATGCAGATAAATGAAGTGTGTTTCTGTTTGTAATATTGAAATAACAGCTTTTACTACATGCATGTATCAAAATAACACTTTTTACAAATTTGGTTTGTATGTTTGTACTGGCTAATCTCTGAAATGGTTGGACCGATTTTGACGACACTTTTAGACTAGTTTCTAATATATCCGTGTTATTAAAATTGAAATGTTACTAAGTACCTATGTAATTTATTGACCTAAGTCAACATGAATTGCGTAGATTCTTGTCAACTAGTCAAATTCTATACTTTTTTCGAACTGTCAAAAACGACAGTATTCCATGAATTTTGTTCGAGATTGTGTACTGTGACGTCACGTTTTTTTAGCGCCAAATACCATAGGTACTTATTTCTTAAGAACTTGCTGGAAAATTACTAAATTTAAGATTTTTAATTTTTTTTACAATTAAATACCTAACAATAAAAGTAACAATAAAATATAAAAAAAACTACTTTTTAATATTTTATTGTAATGAATATGTACTCGAAACAATTTCTTTTTGATTGAGGAACGTACTCAATTTAACATCCGCCTATAGAAGTCAGCAAGGTCAGATTTTATTCCCACACGGAGAAGGATTGAGCATTAATCTAGTGATAAGTGTAGTCACTTACCGAAGGCGGATTGATAACTTCAAATATTGTTTTATCATTCTAGAACAATTTGCACAATGTATTGCGTTGAACACGAAAACAATATGCTCACTACCTTTTTATGTAATGAGCACATAAAAAAAATGCAATATTATTATCTAACACGACCGGAGAAAGGCCAGGTGTAGCTGCTTATTGCAATAATAAGTGTGAAAATATACAAAATATGAAAAGATTGATGACTGTTGATGAAGCGAAAGAGGTACAACTCTACAATATCGCGGAGAACCTAACGGGTTACCGGAGCTCCGGGTCGACGTGCAGGAGAAGGAACGGGGTCGTTTTTAATCAGTAGGAGTCTGACGCTCCCTCCCGCCTCACCCAGGCGGGAGCAGCCATACGATGATTTTCCCCCCTAAAAAAAACACAACTCTACGATACGATTACTACGATTTCATAGTCTCTGCCTACCTCCATTCGAGACAGGCGTAAAGTTATGTTTGTATGTGTGTATGAAAATGTACAGTATGTTAAAGTTACGATTTTAGATTCACTCAATTGACACTTCGACTGTTATTCGACTTCGAGAGATTTATTACATATCATAACATAACATCACGCATTTTTATCCCCGAAGGGGTAGGCAGAAGTTCACATTTTGGCACTCAATGCCATTGTACAAT